GATTGTTGATAAAGGGCAACAATATTCATGATCACTCGGTAGTATCCATAGCAGTATTGAGAGAAAACTCGAAAAACCATGAAAACCAAGAGAATAATTTTATTCTTTTTCATATCAAACTAAAGAAATCAAAGTCGGAACGCCTGGAAATGTTTGGCATAGGTAGAATATATATATGCAATGTCTCTACCAGCATATATCACTTGTCGAATTAAATTTTCTATCTGAAGTGTGTTATGAGAGTTCTAGTTGGTTTTCTGAGGAGATTTGCAAAGAAAAGAGGGATATATAACATATGACCATAAAAACAAATCAAATTTGTATGATCCTCTTTTATGATTCTGCAAAAACTGGCAATTAAATTTGACCTGTGACCTTTCACTGCCATTTTAATTTCATTTCCTACTTCAGCAATAAGCAGATAATTTCAATATTAATAATAAAGAGCAGATCATACTTATATTAGTTCTTTAGTTTTAACTGCCATACATCCATCCAAAAAAATCCCCATGATTGATACCCACCCTGTGGTGCACAGCAAGAACTATAGTCACATACCAGAGTATGCTAGGAAGAAATGGCAATGAACGTGGATAGAGAATGAGTTATATGTATCCTTATATATAGAAAGGACTTATCCAAGTTGCAGTTGAAATAAAACTCTGGTCATATGGAGTTACATTCACGTTTTTTCTGCTTAGGACTATATGTTAACAATCTTACATTCAAATTAATGCATATGTTGAAAGTGGGTCCTTACCGCAGAACCTTAATCTGGGCCTTAGGCCAACTTTAAGTTCCACTTTAATTCATTTCTCAAATCTGTGACACAAGTGAGTCAAAAACTAGAGTCAACTCAAGTCAAACACACACTTTCAAAGTCACAAGTTTCCACCCTTTACAAGCCATTCTAACTTAGCCAAAATCTTTTAGTGCTGGCAATGCCACTTTCTCTTTGAGCAGAGCAGTTGGCAGCAGGGACATCCTACGAGCCAGGCAATGATCGCAACATTATTTACTACAACACTGCCAAGACCACAGAGGAGCAGAAAAACGCTGAGACGGTCCTCCATTTTTTCTACGAGCACAAACCTCTCAACGGATTTGCTACCTGTCTTGGCTATGGCGACTTTCCCAACGCTATCTACGGCCACACAGGATGCTACAACATGTCCGACCAGCCAAGCTGCTCAGAATGCCTCAAGCGAGCTTACCAAGCAGGTCGCTCTAAGTAACTTTGGGTGGTACTTAGAAACGGAAAGAAGATGCAGTTTGCGACATTGGATTCTGGATTGAGTAAGTTTCCTCTCCAGATAATCTATCACGGCTGTTCTAACTTATATTCCCATTCTTCCACAGCTCTTTTTGGTGTCGTGGCTAAAGTATGGCAAGCAATATGTTGGTGTCAACGTCCTGGAGGTCCATAGTCCACCTAAGCAGCTTGGGGACGAGGTGGCGCTTGTGTGGCGCATAAAAAACTTTTTACTGACTTAGTGTGAAGGCCTGACGATTGTGGGTGTTAAACATCGTGTGAAGACTTAAAACTCAACAATGTTAACATGTGAGGACTCTAGCAATGAATTGAGCATCACGATGTCATGCAATTGTCAACAAGATATTAACACGTGGCCTCCTGGAACAGCGCCAAGAGGGTGTCCGTGGTGGTCCGCATTCTTCTTCTCGGTCGCCTCCTCGCCGCCGTGCCCATCGACGCTCCTCTGTCCGGTCCCGTGTCGGTGACCGGAAGCCCTCTCTGTGGTCGTGGGATTAAGTCGCTGTGGAGAAATCACAAGGAGGCCAATCCTTCCGGCTCTCAGCTTCGATCGCGGCCACGTGTGGATCTGCATTGGCGCTAGGAATAGCTTATGTGTTAGATCGACTCGGCAGGATATTTTCGGGAGCTCAGGATCGGCAGGGTCGGTTGACGACATTGCTTCACTACCCTAGCAGCGCGGGCATGTGAATGCAGGCAGTAGCAAGTGTAGCCTTTGCTCTGCCCATGTCATCTTCTTCAAGACCGAGTGCTAGGTACTGCAAGAAAAGCTTCTCTAGTTTGTGATCTTACTTTGGTGGCACTAATCTTCTTCGTTTTCCTTTCCAGGTGTGTAGTTGATTGTTATTTGCAACAGGTGTGTGATTTGGGCACAAAGTGTCTTCAGTAGCAACCCCTACCAATGCAAATTCAAGGTGGGGAGTCAAGGATTCTTGGTTGCTTTGTTTGTAGGTGAGGGATACTATGGGGCTTGCCTTTCAAGACCTCACAGCAAACTGGAAAAGGTGTTAGCCTCATTTTTCTCTTTGTTTGCATTTTGAGAAATAGAGAATGTGGAAAGTGTTTGGTGGGGGTAGTTGATGGTAGTTTAAACTTGATGGGAGTATTTATTTTTACATCGAGTATCATTTGTTAAATGAAGTGATGATTCTAGATGTGTGCCCTCTTGCTCATATAACTGATATTTTGGATTGTTTGGGGAAAAATTGTTGGTTCATCAAGTTAGATTTTGCATTTGGCCGAAGAAGATATTCCTAAGACTATTTTTTGTATATTGTTTGGTTTGTACGAGTTCTTGGTGATGTCATTTGGTTTGAATAATGCTTTAGCAACTTTCCAGCAGATGATGGATAAAGTTCTTTATGATATGCTAAAAGTGAATATTGACTTCATCAATAATGTTTTAATCCACTCAAAAGGGATGATGTTTTAATCCACTCGGAAAGGACATGGGAAGAACATGTCCATGATATTTGTAAAGTGTTAAATCGGCTATGGTAAGTTAGTTTAAAGCTAAAGTAGTTGGGTTCAAGGACACGATTTATCTTGGGTATCGTATTTCTCGTGAGGGTTTGCAAGTTAATCCTAATAAACTTGTGGCTATTCCAAAGTTCCCTACTTCGAAGTGTGTGAATAATGTGTAGTGCTTCTTGAGTAAAGTGCAATATCTAAATCGTTTTGTGAATCATTTTTTTGATCGCACTGCACTGTTACAAACATTGTTGAAGTCATTAACATCATCTTTCATCTTGTCTGTGGACTGTGAACGAGCGTTCATGGATCTCAAGGAGTTATTGACGACTCTTTTGGTTTTAGCGTATTCTAACTATACTTGACCTTTCATTTTGCGCATGGATGCTTCTGATATTAGTCTTTGAGGTGTATTGATGAAAAAAAGCTTGAATCTACCTGGTCAGTGCTATCTTATTGCATATATAAGTTGTACATTACAACTAGTGGAAGCAAACTACTCCATGATAAATATTAGTAACAGTTTACGGTTTTAAGAGATTTTATGCATATCTACATAGTTCTCAGACGTTATTGGAAGGTGATCATATTGTTGTTACTTCATTATTGAAGTGGAAGAACTTGGTTGATCGTACTGCTCAGTGGGTTTTGAAGCTTTAGATATATGATTTTGATATTATTCATTGTTCGAGGAGTTTTATGGCTGATGTTGATGCCTTTTTTTAAGCTCCTTTTATTTCTTTGCTCTCTTCTCATGTTTTTGACAAGCCTATTATTTTAGCATTTATAGATTTTTTATACAAGGATTCTGTGTAGTTGGTGGAGCATCATTTGCTAATGACTTATCATTTTGGCATTTACATTCTTAATATCACTTTGAGAATGGCTTTCTTTATTTTGTGGGGACAGACCTTGATAATCATTTATAGTTGGTGGTGCCTTTAATTTTTTTTCCACGGTTTCTCCATACTTACCATGATTTTCTTATTCTAGGCGGGCATATAGGACATTATTGTGTGATTGAGAAGTTACACAGGTTTTTTTATTGGTCGGAGATGCGATATGATGTTATCTAGTATATGCATAATTACATTTAGTGCCAAGTTTGTAATACTCCCCCTCGTGTTACGGAAGGACAATTAGAGTTAATTGCAATTTCTCATTTACTTGAGTTGGTGGCATTTGATCTTATGGAACTTTTTTCACGATCGACTTTTGGCAATGAATATGTTATTATTGCTTCTGATTACTTGACTTGCTAGGTGAAAGTTGGTGCTTTTGCTAGTGCTTTTGCAATTGATGTTTGATACTTCCTCCTCAATCGAGTGGTGTTCTAACATTCTTGTCTAGAGCGAATTCTTTTGGATAATAATCCCACATTTATGATTAAGGCATTTCATGTTTTGACGTTTTAATTAGGGATATGCTACACTTTCACGAGTGCTTATTATCCACAATCAGACAGTTTAGTGGAACGGTTTGTTCAAACATTTAAAGGGATGATCACGAAGTATGTGAATTTTCAACATTTGGATTGAGATGGTTATTTGTTATTTCTTTAGTATACATATGTCATAAGGGTGTAGAGTTTTGTTGGTGCTTCACCATAAAAACTCTTATATAGTCATGATCCAATATTACAAACAAAATTGGGTTTACCTTTGCGATTACCACGAGTTGTTGATGCTAGGTTGTGGGATCAATATTTGACGAACATTCTTTCATTTATCCGAGTAGAGTCTGCCGAACACCTGGGTTGCATATAAATGGGAGAACAACAATGCTACAACTCTCATCATCATCCACTTGTGGAGTACAAAGTGAATGATTTGGTATTAGTCCATTTTCCCCATCTTACGATATATAGTTTATCTAAAAAACTCCTTGCTCAGTGGAAAGGATTGTATTAGATGTTATAGCAAGTTGGACTATAAGTTTATGAAGTTTGGCATGACATTTAACAAATTGATCCTTCTTCATACAAAGGGATTAAAAAGAATTAGTATCACCTATACATCTATAAATGTCTTTTTTTGATATTCCTTTAGATCCCAGCTCATCTACAAGAAAATTTTAATGATCTTTCATTATTCTGAGAGGAGGGGATAATATAATGTCCAAATGTAGAGCTATATTTTTTAGAATGCATATTTTTTATATTCCCTTTTTATATTCCACTATTAATTAAGTTAAGGATTTACATTTAACATATGTTGTACAATTTCACTATAAAATTAGTGAAAAGGAAGATGAACCCTAAAATGCGATGGACGACAGAGGTATGTTTTGTAGCGTCCCAGTTGTTGCCGAATCTTTATGCGGCGCCTTGTCTCTTGCCCCGACCGGATGCAACAGCCCAGTATCTCGGCAAGCCTCCAACGCGAATCTTGTCACGCATGACGCAACCCACATCGAATCTGTCCACGCATCATTGAAAGCTTGCATCAGCACCAGGGATTTGCAATGGGGGAAAGTGATCCACTCGCAAGGAGCGATCCTCCTCTCCAGGAATGTTAATCTGGCCAATTCCCTCATCACCATGTACTGCAAATGCGGGAGCCTCGACGACGCTCGCAGCGTTTTCGATGGGATGCTACTCCGGGACGTGGTTTCCTGGAACGCTTTGATGCAAGGGTATGTGGACGCTGGCCAGGGAGGCAAGGCCCTAGAGATTTTCTCGCGGATGATGGAAGATAGCGGCTGTGACCCGGATGCTCGGAGCTTCGTAGCTGCGATCAAGGCTTGCTCCAGCGAGTTCCAAGAAGGAGAGTCTTCGACAGATTCGGATGGGAAAAAGCTCTCTATCAGGGGGAAAGCTCTCGACAGAGGGCGATGGATTCATTCTCAAGCTGCAAAGTTTGGCTGCGAATCCAACATGTTTGTTTCGAGCTCGCTCATCGACTTTTATGCCAAGTGTGGGCGTTTGGTTGACGCGCGCCGGGTTTTCTCCAGAATGCGAGTTCGCGACGTGGTAACTTGGAATGCGATCATTCTGGGACATGCCGAGAACGAGGAGCCGGAGCTGGCCTTGGAGTTCTTCTCGAGGATGCAAAGGGAGGGGAGTGTTCCAAACTCTCGAACTTTCGTCGCGGCGATCAAGGCTTGTGCTGTTCTTGCCGAGTTTGAGTCGAGCACTAGAGTGGAGAAGTCTGATGTGAAGGTGGCGAGCTTGGAGAGAGGCATGGCTCTTCACTCGCAAGCGGAGAGAAGTGGCAGTGTCTCGGACGTGTTCGTGCGGAATATTTTGGTGGATATGTATGCAAAGTGTGGAGACGTAGAGGATTCCCGGCGTGTTTTTAACAGAAGTTCCCATCGCGACGTTGTTTCCTGGAACGCTATGATCCTGGGATACGCAGACAACGGAGAGGAGCATCTAGCTTTGGGGCTTTTCTCGAGCATGCCCAAGCCAAACTCTCGAAGTTATGTTGCTGCTCTAAAGGCTTGCAGTGCTCTGGCAGCTAAAGAACAAGGCAAGGAGTTTGATGGAAAAGCTGGCATCAAAATCGATTCTTTGGAGAAAGGCATGGCTCTCCACGCTGGAGCAACGATATCCGGCTGCGAACTCGATCACTTTGTAGCAAACACTCTGGTAGACATGTACGTGAAGTGTGGTAGCACTGAAGATGGCCGCAGGGTCTTTGAGAAAATCCCACACCGGAGTGCTGTTTCGTGGAGCGCTTTGATTCTGGGTTATGCAAACAACAGACAGGGGGAGCTGGGACTCGAGCTTTTCTTGCAAGAAATGGAGAAAACTCCGGGTTTGACACCAAACGCTCAAGCTTTCAACTCCGTTTTAAAGGCTTGTGCGAGCGTTGCCAACTTGAGAAGCTCCAAGTTTTTTCACGGAGAGATTTGCAAGAGTGGATGCGAAAGTATCCCTGCGCTGGGGACGAGCCTGGTGGACTCTTATGGAAAATGCGGCAGTTCGAGCGAGGCACAGCGAGTGTTTGATCTTCTCGCGAGGAACGATGTGGTAAGTTGGACTGCTCTTATTTCTAGCTACGCTCATCAAGGTGATACTGAAAAGGTTTTGTGCTGGTTTCGCAGGATGCGGGACGAAGGAATTCAAGCAAATGAGGTAACTTTGCTGTGTGTTCTCTCGGCTTGCAGTCGTGCGGGATTGAGCGACCGAGGGAAGAAATACTTTGAGGCAATGGTTCCAAAGTTTGGTGTCACTCCGAGCATAGAACACTTCCACTGCATGGTGGACATGCTGGGACGAGCAAACTCGCTGGAGGAGGCGGTGTCCATGGTAAGCTCGATGCCATTTCGAGCGAGCTCGGTGTCATGGATGACAGTGCTAGATGGTTGCAGGAAGTGGAAGAATGTGGAGGTGGGAAAGCTCGCGTTTGAATCGCTGCTGGAGCTGGACAAGCGAGATTGCGGTGCGTACGTTGTCATGGCAAACATCTATGAGAGTGTGGGGATGTTTGAGCAGGCAAAAAGCAGCAGAGAGAAAAGAGAATGATCGAGTGGATCGGGACCGAAGAACAGCAGAGGATGAAACACTCGCAGGTAGATGTCTTTCTCTTCACGAGCAATCTACGTTGCATTGAGCAGCCGCGAGAGCGAAGAGCACCGCGTTCAGCTGGGAATTATTAAACCAAGGTGGAAGAATTCACTCGTGAGAAAGCTCCGGGATACAGATCCAGGTTCTAGCGTTTGGATCGACAAAAGAGTGAACATAAACAACAACTTGACGAAGAAAACACACAGGAACAGGGACACGGACAGGAACAGGAAACTGGAACATGGAGAATTCAACACGGGATGAAATGGAAAGGCAGGGAAAAAGGATTTTTCTTCCTCCAGATGCAGACAATGCTTCGCCGTGTCTCGATCAATGACCGCTCAAGGCTCTCGATGCAATCAAAGTATACACTACGACACGCTCAGCGCTCCTCTCCGCTCGTAGCAATCCGACAAAGGCGGCGCTTTTGTTTCACTCGAACACGCAAACGCCTCTTCCGGGACAGTTTTACACTTGATCGATCGCGAGCAACGCCAACTTTCGCGTGTCCGTGGGAATCCTTTCGTCCTCTTGTAGCAGCCAGCGGGTGGAGATTTTTGTGTGAGAGCCGGGAGCTGGATCGAATCCATCTCTCGAACCCCGTGACAGATCTACGCCGGCATTTCTTTCCGACACATTCCCCGCGTGTCAGTTTCCTCGCGTCCTTTTCTTCCTCTCGACCAACTTTCTTTCTTTTTTCTTCTTCCTCGTCACTGTTCCTGGCAGTGTTTGTTTTCTTCCGCTCGAATCCGCTGCTATATTTCTCCCACGACGCCCTTTCATTGAATTCATTGTACAGTCATCTTCTTTTTTTTTCTTCCTTTTTTTCTTCCGCTTCTTCTTCTCTCTCCCCCAATTCTCACAAAAAAAGAAAAAAAGAAAAAAAATGTTTCATCATCCATTCCAAGAAGATCACATACCTTCTCACGAGTTTATGCTTCAACCTGAGGAGCTTCTTATGGATATGGAACTTTGTCCTTCGAAAAAGGAGCTCGAGGCTCTTTTTGTTTATGGCGGCGAGCCCGACTCCGTCTTGGATCTCGGCCCTTACATCAGTCCTCTCAATAGTCCCAGCTCCGAGGCCTCGAGCACCATTTTCAACACACATGGATTCTCCGACGAGCCTTGGGAGTATGAGACGATCGAGGACATGAATTTCGACTTGGATCTCTTGTCTCCCACTTCGACAACTTCCAGCAGCGATATCTCCCTCCAGGATCCAGCCGATGATGATACTTGCGATGATCATCTCAACATGCTCGAAGATCTACTGCTGGACGACGATGATCACGATGGTCACACTCGGCAGGAACTGGAAGTGGAGCAGCAGCAAAACCACGACGTGGATCAAGGCAGCAAGCTTGACGCTCCACGAGAGGAAGAAGAAGAAGAAGAAGGAATAGAAGAGGTCGAAAGAGCAGGAGAAAAACAAGACGAGGAGAAGAGAGGCCTGGAGATCGTCCACTTGCTGCTAGCATGTGTGGAGAACATCCAAGGCGGAGACATGGCAACATCAAAGCTCATACTGGATCATCTCGCTGCTTCCAGTCGCGATCATCCTCCACACCTCTCAAGCCCGATCGAGAGAGTCTCCACACACATCTGCAAAGCTCTGAGCGAGAGAATCACCAAAACATCCATCTTCGACGCCACCACCAGCGATGATCTTGCCTTTGCGCGCCGAGCCTTCTACCAACACTTCCCATTCCTCAAGTTCGCGCACTTCACTGCAAACCAGGCCATCCTCGAGTCCCTGCGAGGCTGCTCCAAGCTCCACATCGTGGATCTCGACATCGATCAAGGCATGCAGTGGCCAAGCCTCATCCAGGCGCTCTCGCAGATCGAAAACGCTCCATCTCTTCGCATCACCGGCGTCGGATCCAGCCTCGCCGAGCTCCAGAGCACCGGACGCCGGCTAACCGAGTTCGCCACGTCCATCGGCTACCACAAGCTCGACTATCACCCCGTCCGGCTAGACTCCCCCGACCAGCTCGATCCCTCGGCCTTCTCTCTCGGCGACGATGACGATCAAGATCTGGGCCTGGCCGTGAATTGCTCGATGTTCCTCCATCGTCTCCTCGGCAACCATCCAGCGCTGGAACGCACACTTTGCATGATCCGGGCATGGAATCCACGCATTGTCACGGTGTCCGAGATGGAAGCCAACCACAACACTCCGAGCTTCGTGGATCGATTCGTGGAGGCTCTCCATTTCTACTCGGCGGTGTTCGATTGCCTGGAGTCGGCTCTGGCACGGACGGACCCGGACAGGATCTACATCGAGGGCGCCATGTTTGCCGGAGAGATCCGGAGCATTCTTGCCTGCGAGGGCGCCGACAGGATCGTCCGGCATGCCCGGAGCGAGAGCTGGAGGGATTTCATGCGGTGGTCGGGGTTTAAAGATGTTGGACTGAGCGATCACTCGCTCTATCAGGCTCACGTATTTCTCACATTGTATTCGCAGGCGTATAGGCTGACGAGGGAAGAACAGGCACTTATACTGGGCTGGCATGACACTCCCGTAGTGTCCATCTCCACTTGGAGCTGCTAAACACTTCAATCCAAAACTGTGTATATAAACACTACAGGTAAAACTTTTTTTTTTTCCTTTCTTTTTGAAATAAAGGGAGAGAGAACAAGCAAAAAAAAAAAAAAAAACAGTGGTATGTTCTCTATAACTATGGGGAGCCGAAAGTGATGACCTCTTGTGTCCTTCAGCTTCTATCTTTTTAAATAATCAAGGCTTCTGTTTTTATATGGTTTCATGGTTTACTTCAATGTATGCATAAACATGGCTAGAGGTAAATTATTTTATTTTATTTTTCACACAATTAAAGAGAAGAAAAAGGGAGAGAGAACAAGCAAAAAAAAAAAAAAACTTTTAGAGGAGCTGAAAGTGAGACCTCTTGTATCCTTCAGCTTATCTTTTATTTTGTAAATAATCAAGGCCTCTTATTTGATATGGTTTCATGGTTTTGTGATTTTCATGGATGAGAAAGCTAGAGTGGATTGACGTGATAAGAGGCTGCAAGAGTCTATCAAGGGCGAGAGAGATCCATAGGCAAATTTCGAGCAGCCAAGGAGGGGCCAGGCACTTTAGCAAAGATCCAACTTTTCTCTCTAATCTCCTCATCCAGATGTATGGCAAATGCGGTGGCGTGGGCGATGCGCTGGCTGTTTTCCAGGCCCTTTCTCAAAAAAACACTCACACTTGGAATTTGATGCTCCAGGCGTGTCTCGTCAACAGTGGTCTCGAGCAAGCCAAGGAAATCTTTGGAGCTATGCCGGATCCAGATGCGTTGTCTGGAGAAGCGATGGTGAAAGCATTGATTCGAAACGAGCAGCCGCTGGAAGCAAAGAGATGTTTCGAGCGTCTGGGACAGCGAGACGAATCTCTCTGGGCACTGATTTTTGCAGCACTTGCCCAAAAGTGGTATCTTCTTGCGGCGGAGGAGGTCTTTGTTAGAACACCTCTTGTAAACGATCTGACCTGGGGAAACATGATAAACATGTATGGAAGAAATGGAAATCTAGATGAAGCTAAACATTTGTTCGTCTCCATGCCGGAAAAAAACCTTGTCGTGTGGAGTTCTTTGATCACTGCCTATGCCCAATACGGGCATTTCGTCAAGTCGATAGAGATGTTTAAAAGAGTCCCGGCTTTGGATCTTGTCTTGTGTTCGGTGATGTTGCGAGGCTTTGGAGAAAATGGAAATGTTGAAGAGGCAAAAATCTTGTTTGATTCCATGCCAGAACGAAACCAAGTGTCTTGGTGTGCTATGACCACCGCAGCCTCGCGGAGCGGGAGCATTGAGGAGGCCAGAGAAGTGTTCGATAGAATCCCAGAGTGTGATCTCGTTGGATGGAACGGGATCTTAGCAGCGTACTCCATGCGAGGAGAGGCCGAGGTGGTAAAGACGCTGTTCGATCGAATGCCCGAGAGAGACGAGATCTCCTGGAACACACTTTCAGCTGGGCTCTTCGAGAGCTCCAAGACGACCCTGGAGGTGGTGAGAGAAACGTTTCGGAGAGTTCCAAAGCATAGCGTGGGATGCTGCACAGTGGCGATCACCGCCAGTGGCGACGCGAGAGAAGCAAAGCTGGTGTTTGATTCCATGAGGCATCGCGACGTTGTGTCATGGACGTCGCTCTTCAAAGCCCACTTCCAAGGTGGCGAGCTCCAAGAAGCCAAAGAAGTCTTCGAGAGAATGCCTGTGTATGACTTGGTTTCCTGGAACGCAATGCTCACAGGATTCTCACAGAGTGGCCGCATGGACGACGCAAGGCTGGTTTTCTCCAAGCTCCCGGAGAAAAACTTGGTATCCATGACGACGATGCTGGCAGGATTTGCAAAGAGCGGCCAGCTTACCACGGCGAAGAGCGTGTTTGACGAGATGCCGGACATGAACGTCCCGACTTGGAACTCGATGATCGCAGGCTACGCTCAAAACGGGCACTTTCGCGAGTCGATGGAGACGTTCCAGTTGATGCAGCTGGAAGGTTTCAGGCCCGACGATGGCACGTACAGCAGCGTGATCCTGGCAGGAAACCACGCAGGAACTCTTTCGGTGGCTCGATCCCGGTTTGTGTCGATGGTGGACGACTATGGCTTAGTTCCGAAGAAGGAACACTACAGTTCCATGGTGGACGTGTTGAGCCGAGCCGGACACTTGACAGAAGCGGAGGATCTGATCGTAAGCATGCCTTTTGTTGCTGATGATCGAGACTGGAGGACTTTACTCGGCGCCTGCAAAGATCTGAATGATTCGGAGCAAGGAGGCCGCGCTGCAAAGTTTGCGCTTGAGTTGGAGCCTGAAAGCTCTGCATCATATGTGGTGTTGGCAAATTTGTGCAAGTTAGAAGCATAGATCTCAGCGAAAACCATTACCATTAATTCAAACTTTCCTCGAGCTCCACATGTATATCGAAAACCTTGTCATCGCGCTGGACTTTAAGAACGACTCGATCTCCAATCTCATGATCGTCCAGAGCTTTCGCTAGTTCCGGTGGGTTTTTAATCTGAGGAAGCCATGTTGGGTGAAATGTCTATACTCCAATCAAGACCGGATTTCCTTACAGAAAGATTGTCGACTGCAAGAATGACATCTCCAAGCAGAATGTTTCCCGCAATTCCACGCCGCGTTGCCACTAAACCAGCCTTGGCAGCAGTGCTCGAAGGTAAAACCTGAAATTATGATATGTTTCGAAAAGTATGAAGAAGAAAGAGATCACGTACCGAAAGAACTAGTGAGCCTTTCTTGACGTTAAGCTGTTTTGCAACAATGTCTGGTGCGACTTGAATTTTCAAACCAGCATGCATGATCTGACATAAAATACAAGTTAGAGAAACTTAAGGAGGCCAAAAAATCAACCTTTCCATATTTGATCAGCTGAGGCACCACTCTCGACACTGCATCCACTGGAATAGCGAAACCAATTCCCGCGGACGTGCCTAAGTGGTAAGAAATCATATCGAGAACAATAAAAAAAATAATCAACCAGTTTACCTGTTCGAGTGAAAATCGCAGCATTGATTCCGATCAGCTTTCCCTCAGAGTTTAATAACGGACCACCACTGCTCACAAAAATGGTCAGAGTAGAAAGGAAAGAGAAAAGAACTCACCTATTTCCTGGATTTATGGCAGCATCGGTTTGGATGCCTCCGCCAATTATCACACCGGTCTGGCTGTTTATGTCTCGATTCAAACCACTTACAACCCCCACCGTGAGTGTGTGATCAAATCCAAATGGATTCCCTATGGCCAGGCAGCGCTGGCCAACTTTTAAGTTCGAGGATTTTCCCACAGAGATTGGATGGAGAAGTGCTTCAGGAGCATCAATCTGTAAAAAGAAAGACGTGGTAAATTCTCTGCCGAAAAGAACAATCGATGAAACATCATATACTTTGAGAACAGCAAGATCTTTGGTCTTGTCTGCGCCAACCAAAGTCGCTTGGAAAGTCTTTTGAACCCTGGAAGACGGAAAAGCATCCAGTAAGTCGTCAATGGCGAAACCAAAAACAAGCCATACCCGTCCTCCACAAGAAGTGAAACTCGAGCCACAGGTTTTTTCTTTCCGAGGCCTTTGGACAAGGCGCTACCAATAACTGTAACACCAATCTTAGGCGAAAAACAAAGGAAACAAGAACTAGAACTGACCGTGATAGTTTGTGACAATGTGACCATCTTTGTCCCACACAATTCCTGTTCCATTACCTTCTGGAACCTAGCAAGAAGCAAGAAACTCTTTTCAGCGGCTGTGATCTCAGTTGCATCAAACATTTACCTCCACTGATCCAGTCAAGTTGAGCTCCGGTTTAAGTGTGGTGTCGAAAACATTAACCACGGAGAATGTGTTGTTTTCAAAGAGTTTGGCAATCCGTTCCTACAGCCTGCCAACACAACTCCATCAATCTATCCAAAAACGAAGCAAAGAAAGAAGCTTTTCTCCTTTTATGTGCTCACCTCACTGGGTGGAAGATCGCCGCGAGGAGCTACAGGTGGAGTAACGTCCTCCAGTGTGACAGTGGAATCTCCCAAAGCAAGTGCTGTAAAACAAATATCAAAGCTGGAAAAGAAAAAAATCCTTGCACCAGAGAACGAAAAAAACAGGTAGAAAATTTGTGCAAGAGCATAGAAACGAAATCGATGCACGCAAGTGCAAAGAACGAAAAAAATCAATGAGGATTTCATACCTGGGAGTGTAGGCAGGGAGAATCCAAAGATGAGCATTCCAGCCCCAACAGCGCGCCTGGAATTCACAGCCCTGGCGCTGCAAGAAACAAAGATTGCGTGAGCATTCCATTCGCAATCTCGCTACTCACTGGCAATGCGAGGCATTCTCGCAGGCCGCGCGCGCCGCCAAAGCCCTCATCTAGTCTAGCTAAGATATTTCACCCTTTAGGATATTCATGAATATACCTAATAGGTCAATTTGATTCCCGCCAACACAATGAAATATACTTTTTAGATTAGGGCAAGCTAGGGTTTCTGTAGATGGAGCGCAGGGGAAGGCGCTCGCCGGATCGGGAGCGCGGCGAGAGAGGGGACAGGCACGGCAGGCGCTACGAGGGCGAAGGATTTGGCAGCGACCGCAGAGAGAGGCGCTATGATTCTGGCGACGATTTCGATCGCGGGGACAGGAGGTTTTTCCAGCGTGAGGAAGGTAGAGATTTCCGGCGTGAGAATGTAGGGAGAAGAGGGGATGGAGCAGCAGCAGCAAGTCAGGAGCTTCCGGAGCTCTACTCGATTTGTAGGGGACGAGTTCACTCGGTGAAACCCTTTGGTTTGTTTGTTCGTCTAGAAGGCTATCGAGCTCACGGGCTCGTCCATCTCTCGCAAGTGAGCAATCACGAGGTCACGCAGCGGGAAGACTCGGACGAGGTGAAAATGCAAGCTTTGGCAGCGATTGCCGGGCAAGGAGAGGAGATATGGGTGAAGATTATCGCCGTGAGACGAGAGGAAGATGGAAGTGTGAAGATCGGTTGCTCGATGAAACTTGTTGGGCAGACCGATGGAAGAGACTTGGATCCAAACAATCTCCAGGCCGAGCTCAACGAATCAAGGCCATCTCGTCCTGCTCGTTCCAAAGTGAGATTTTTATCTTTTCTCTTCGTAGTTCTGATGTATTTGGGAGTGTGGCAGGTTACTCTTGATGCTGTTTACAACGTTTCTTGCTCGCGGTGCGGCGGTCACGGCCACTTGAAATCTGAATGCTACGCCACCGGTGACAAAACTTACGAGCTGCTTCCAGAGGAAGCTCTGGAGGATTCAGTGCCACAGCCATTGACACAGCCATCGACAGTGCTTGCGGAAGAAACTCTAGACAAGGAGAAGAACAGGCACAGCGCATCCAAGTCGAGCAAGAAACGAAGCCATCTCCCAGACAGCGTTACTACTGTGGAAGAAGCCAAAGCTCTCATCGCGAGCCTCAAGGACGAGAAGAAGAAAAAGAAGGAGAAAAGAGAAAGCAAGCGCCACCATAGCAAGCATCACAAGAAGCGGAGGAAAGAGGAAGAATCAGCGCACTAAGGCAAGCGGTGGTGTGGAATATCCGCGTCTTTATGGCACTCGCAGTGCTGACGCGATGCGACGGCGACCGTCAGATCTCAAACTCTTTCTTCGCGGGGAGAGAGCTATTTAGTGGGCGATGGCGCTCGAGCAAAGGAACGAGGGAGCGATGCAACGGAAGAAATTGGAGCAGCAAGAGCAGCACTCAATTGAGCTCCTCGATGGGCAGAATCGTCACCCGGCAATCGCCATTCCCCGGCAGGCCGCCTGCGACACGCTCCAGTCGATCATCCAGGCGCATTTCGAGAAGACGCTGGAGAAGAAGCGCGCGGTGGACGCGCAGAAGAAGGAGCTGTGGCGGATGTTTGGCATCTTCTTCGTGTTCCTGGCGATCCTCTTCGACGGCGTGGCGCGGTCCTCGGTGATCCAGTGCCGCCACTGCTGGGCTCCAATTGGGATTTGCTTGCTCGCCACCGCCATCTTCTACGTGGGGATGGCGCAGACGCTCAAGTGTATCAACGCGTTCAAGTACCTGCGGAGGTGCCACAAGCTCACCATGGGCGTCGCGACGGACAAGCTCCGGAGGATCACATCGAGCTCCATGGACTTGATCCGCGAGGAGGAGGTGGAGGTGAGGTACCAGGAGCCGGACGATGACTACATTGGCAAATTCAAGAGGAAATGGATCATGTTCACGGTGTTCTTGGCTCTCACTCTGGCTCTGCTTGTCTCGTCCTTTGCACAGATCCTATGCTTGTAACTAGAAGTCTTCTTTTCTCTTCACTCATTCATGTAAGAGACAAACCACTGTACGCAAGAATTATGTCCAAGAAAAGAGGTTGAAATTCCACCATTGCTCAGTCAAAAAGGAGGGAAAACATTGTAAAAGGTTGTGATGCCAACTTCAGTGTTGGTGGCTGGGACCTCCAGCTCGAATCTTAATCTCCATGCCACGATTGACTCCTCCTAGCTAGGAAAAAATTCTTAGAAAAAGATTCCTCCAAACTTAAGTTGCTGTAGCAAGCTTGTCTTCTTCTTCGTCTTCCTCCTCTTCTTTTCTTTGTTTATTTGAGCTTTGTCGATGGTATGGACGTGTCTGGCTTCTTTGGCTCGTTTTTCAAGTCGAGCAGACCTTGTTCCTTCAACTTTGGGTCGAATCTCAGTGTCTCTTTGCAGTTTCTACTGTCGAAGCTCGCCACCAGAGACTTTTCGATCCGCCTGGCTACGTTTTTGAGAACCTTGGCTTTGGGAGGTCCCTGGCCTGCTTCTTCATGGAGTTTGATCTCCTCGTCTACAGTCGATCAATCGATCGATCGAGAAAAACATGAATCCTGGCATAGAAAAAACTTATTACCTGTCATTAGAGGCTTGCAATCCAGTGGATTCTCCCAGATGTTTTGCTGCTCGCTATCGGTGTTTCCAGGTGGAGGAACTGGACTTTCGGCCATCCACTTGTTCCTGGTGAGCTCCAAAATGGACCGGCTTGGCTTGGTTACGTGATAGACTTTGACAAAATAGCATTTTTGTGGAACTCGAGCAAAGTGTAGCCTCATGCTCGGATGGATCTGCCGTAAAGTTTGATGATCTCTTCTGGAACTCAAAGAAAAGGAGGAACTTACAAACCTGCCTTGAGATTCCAATGTAGTTTATGACCTTGTTCTCGTCGAAAACAGCGTAGACACTGGCTTTTGCATCAGCTTGGCTACAATCGAGAATCATCCCGTCTTCCGTGAGATACGGAAGAAATTCCAAGTCCTCCAGGGAAACGAGTTCTTTAGATGATGCTAGCTCACGTCCCTGCGTTTGTAGTTGCCGTCTCTTATACTCTTCTTGAGCCTGCATTGCATTGTTACGCATCCAAACTTTCCAAGGAAATGGAAGAGCTAGAAAGAGAAAAATACCTGTAGAGTTTCTCTCTTGATTCTTTCTATGTTCTCCTCTGCGGCAGCCACCTTTTGCTTCCACTTGGGCTCTGGAAATGGCAATGCCGGTTGAATCAAAGATAAAATTCCTAGAATTCTCACGCAAAGAAGTACCTGCCATGGACGCCATGGCAATGGGCGCGTTAGAGCTGCGATCCCCATCGTTGGGTCAGACGAGCGTTATGGCATGAAAAAAAAAATTGCAATCGAACCGGAGCGAGGGCGAGAGTGAGCCGAGCGCCATAGCGGCTATCGCCTTCGTCGCCATAGTCTATCCAAGGAGAAAAAAATTTACAAAACAAATCTCGTCGCCTGAGAGATTCGAACTCTCGCGGGGAAACCCCATGTACTTAGCAGGCACACGCCTTAACCACTCGGCCAAAGCGACAGATGATAAAAATGTTTCTATTTTAGTCTTCTCGTACTTTTTACAACAATTAAATATTCGTCAAGCCTTTAGCAAAACTGACTTTGGCACGGAATGGAAAGAGTGAAGGACACTTGAGATGAGAAAGCTGATGCAATTACATCGTCCCCCTCCGGAGCAAATTCCAGGTAAGAGAAAACTGAAGATTTTCATAAACATTACCACGCTGCAAGTTTCTCGCAGACTATGGAGAATTTCAACCGAGGCCTCGTCCCTGTTGCATCCCATAAAGGATGAAGATTTTGAGGACTATGAATCACGAACTTTGCCATGCTGCACATCAGATGTTTCTTTCTCGTTTGATAGGTTTCTTGTTCTGTTTTAAGTGTACAAACACAATCTCATCAACAAACCCAAACTCCCATTGTGTCCATGTGTATTGTACTGAAAGATTTCTGGCAACCATGCATCGCATTGCCTTGGCCCATCACAACAGGGATCAGAAAGAAATGGTTATAGAATTGAATTGGCTTCAATTTTCAATTTACCTGATAAAATCCAGCACAGTTTCTTGCAATATTTTTGGAAGATCATGGCGATATCCTTCATGAAGGATGTGAGTAAAAGACCACCTGTCGCGAAGTTTTCATGGATATGCCAGTAGAAGATCATCAACTTACCTTTCAGTTACAATAACCGATCTTAGCTCAGTTGGTAGAGCGGAGGACTGTAGTATCTCCCAGACATCCTTAGGTCGCTGGTTTGATTCCAGCAGATCGGAACCTCGTCGCTCTTACGGCAAGGGAAGCACTATCATTCTTGCAATGCTTTGAATTTGTGGATCTCGGGAAAAGAAATCACATCCAACTAATGGTGCTGATCCATCTCTTTGAGCTTCAAGAGCCATCTCCGCCCACCATCGCCAGCTCTGACAGTAATCAGCCGGTCCAGCGATGGAACCAGCTTCTCCATGTTGAAACTCCGGTTGGCCACCTTTTTATACCCCATGATCTCCACGAACTTATCAATCAGCTGCTCCGTCACAGCCTCCTCGTCCACTCTATCCGGCGATCCCAGCTCCTTGGCCAGCGAGGTCGCCTCCTTCCCCGCGAGGCCACAGCACGGGACAATGTGCGAGAAGTAGCCCAGGTCCGGCTTGGCATTGAACGCCAATCCATGCGTCGTGACCCCGCCCGTCAGCCGCAATCCAATCGCTCCAATCTGCCGCTGCCGCTCGATCCAGCATCCAGCCTCGAATGGCACCCTCACCTCGGCATCGATTCCATGGCTCTTGGCCACGCCCAGCATCACGTCCTCGAGCACCTCCAGGAAATTGCGAAGACCCATCTCGATTGCGCGGAGGGAGACGATCGGGTAGAGCACGGGCTGGCCTGGGAGATGCATTGTCACCTCGCCGCGGCGGTCCGTGTGGTAGATCTCGATGCCCAGCCGGCGGAGCTCCGAGTGGGGGGTGAGGATGGCGTGGGAGAGCCTGTGGCGGCCTAGGGTTATGGCGGGCGGGTGCTGCACGGAGATGAGGACGTCGTCGTGGCCGAGAATGCGGTCCTCCATCACGTAGCGCTGCAGCGCCAGGGCGCGATCGTAGCGCAGCATTCCCACGCGCCATACCTGGAGCTTGCCGGGGCTCTTCCTGGGCATGGCCTCTCAGGAGCCCTAAAAGGATATGCCGCTGGAATCATTTCAAATTTCCCGCTTTAGTGGTTAATATATAAGCCCTAAACCTTAAACCCTAACACAGTGGATTTTCTAGGGTTCTTGCGCCATGGCAATTCGTTTTGATTCCCTGCCCCTGAGGGATCGCACACTGGCGGCTCTCAAGGAATGCAATTTCACTCACATGACCGAGGTAAATGCTCGAAAGCGCGATCTCTCTCTCCCTTGGTTTTTGTTTCGTAGATCCAAGCGCGATCCATTCCAAGGCTGTTGGCGGGGTCGGATGTGCTGGGAGCATCTCGCACTGGCACCGGAAAGACTCTAGCCTTCTTGGTACCGGCATTGGAGCTTCTTAACCGGGTGCAAATCAAGCCAAGGAATGGGACCGTGGTTCTTATCATCTCCCCTACAAGGGAACTCGCAAGCCAGGTTTATTTCTTTTATTGTTCCTTTTCTTGTTGGTCTATTGCTTCGATTGACACTCTTATCTATGATCGATCGGCAGATCCACGGAGTCGCATCCAAACTTATGTCAGCGCACAGCCAGACGCATATGGTTATCACTGGAGGCTTGAACCGTAAAGTCGAGGCTGTGAAGCTCAAGGCTGGAGTGAACCTTTTGGTTGCTACTCCTGGCAGGCTCCTGGATCATCTCAGGAGCACTGCCGGATGGATCTATCACAACTTGAAGGTGTTGTTCTATGTCTGGTTTGTTTTTCCATTCTACCCCTGAGCTTCTTTTCCAGTACTTGGTGATCGACGAAGCGGACCGGTTGCTTGACATCGGGTTTGAAGAGGACATGAATCAAATTCTTCGTTTCTTTCAGGCATTCTTTTCTCTATCTAAATCATGATCGCGACGAGTCTAAGGCTCCCTGCCTACTGCAGAATACAAAGCGACAGACTGTGCTCTTTTCTGCGACTCTATCAGAGAAGGCGAGCCTTGGTCCTTTTTTCTTGGGTTTCTCACTGACACTCTCCCAATACCCAGGTAAAACAGCTTGCGAACTTGTCGCTGAAGGATCCAACGTACATCGGGGTGGAGTCCATTGAGCAATCGACTGTACAAGGTTTGGAGCAAGGCTACTGGGTGGTGCCACTCGAGAAGCGGCTCTTACTTCTCATCTCATCCCTGTACAGAAGTAAGAAAAAGAAGGTGAGGAAGTCGAGCTGATTAGTTCAACTGATGAGTTCTTCTACTTCTACATCACTTTTTTTCTTGTGCAGGTGATGGTCTTCTTCTCCTCGTGTAACTCAGTCAAGTTCCACTTCGAACTGTTTTGCCACATTGGCTTGGAGTGCCTGAGCATCCACGGGAAGCAGAAGCAATCGACGAGGACTTCTGCCTTCACGGAGTTTTGTGCCGCGGAAAATGGCCTCCTTCTTTGTACTGGTGTTGCAGCCCGTGGCCTGGACATTCCTGCCGTTGTAAGTATTCTTTGCAAGATGTATGATGGTAGTAATTACTACAGAGTTGCAGGACTGGATTATCCAGTATGATCCTCCTCCTGATCCGAAGGTCGGTTTCTTCCTGATTTTCTTGTTTGTAACATGCTGATCTTTCAGGAGTATATCCACCGAGTTGGCCGGACTGCTCGGGGAGAGGGTGCCCGTGGCCGAGCTTTATTGTTTCTGCTGCCTCAGGAGCTCCTGTTTACTTATGACCTTAAGGTGTATGTCTTTTGCTTTTCAATGTTTTCTTACTCCATTTCCTTAGCGTGCTAGAGTCCCCATAAAGCTGTGGCCAAGCTCGAAGCCGCTGAACATTCAAACCTTCCTTGTATGTATGCACTCTCACTTCGTTTCTTCCTTTTCTAAGTATCGGTCTTTCGTTTTGTGTGGCAGGAAACTCAGATACTCAAGATCCAAGGCATGCAGCGCTTGGCAGCGGACGCCTTCAAGTCTTACCTGCGCTCGTATCAGGCGCACACGGCCGCCTTTGACATCCACAAGCTAGACTTGCAGGTTAAGTTTTTTCCATTTTTGTTTGTGCCGGTTAGCGAAGTGTTGCTGTCTCGCAGGCTCTTGCAGCATCGTTTTGCCTCAAGTCGATCCCGCCCAGCTGCACCAGCATTCACAGCAACGCGGCCAAGCACAGAAAGAAGAGAAAGGGAGCAGGGCATGAGTTTAGTGCTGAAGACCCTTACGGGAAACGGAGTAAACAAGGGTAAACGATGTAAAAACTTTAGAATGACAACAATGTCAAGAGTTGTCTACGCTAGCATGGAATTCCAAGCGGCTTCCGCGGATGAATGATCGCCTTGACCAAAAAAGATTTCTTGCGCGCGATCCACCTGGTTGAATCTGCCATGAGCCACATACACGAAAATATCCATCGCGAACCTGGATTGATTCTTGGGTCCAAACACGCAATTCCGGCCCTGCTTCTTCTGGATGATGCTGATTGCCACTGACCTTCATACCAGCACCTGGGAAGTTTCGTTCGACAAGCCTCTGATGTTACACAACATAGCTTAAGAAAAAATTTGACGCGGCTCTAGAGGCCTGGGCAAAAAACAATGGGAGCTCCTCTGTTTGCACCGACCGGAGCGGAAGAAAACTCCAATGATGGAGGTAATTCTCTCGATGTTGCGGTTGCAGCTCAAGACGAGGATGGATTGCAATGCAAGGATGAGGGAGAGCAAGAAGATGGACTGCAATGCAACGATGCGGGAGAAGAAGATGGATTGCGATGCAACGAGACACTTCAAGATCACGACGATGACGACGACGTGCTTCGAGAGCTCCTCCTCGATGCTGGCTTTGAGTACGGGTCTGGATCTGCCGATCATCTCAAGGCGCAAGATCAGGAAGTGTCCGAGGTCGACATATGAATGATCTGTAATTTTTCTTCATTGCATCCAACGATCCCCTTTGAGGCGATGACGATGATGGATAATCTCGTGCATGTACATAACTTACAGCACTGAAAAATCATGTGTCACGAGGATTCATCTTGCTCTTGCTGTACAGAAAACAACTGCTAATGTATACACTATAATATATGACAAGTCGTGGAGTGATCCTCAAAGCGACTGCATGGAGGTTTCGTCCAAGCTTTTTCAGCTCTCAAACTATTAATTCTTCAGGTAGAGTGGGCTGTGCACAAGGCAAATAAATATAAGAAGAACCTTGCAGTCAAAACGGTGGAGAAGATGACAAATTTCAAGGATTTGGATGCTGCTGTATGTGAAATCTCGAGGGGGGAACCTTTGCACTCTTGCTCTGTTGTCTCTTTGGATCGGACTCGTGATAGCCTTCCTCTGTTCTTCCAGTTTTTCGTAAATGTAAATCTTGTGCAAACATGCTCCAGCAATTCACGAAGCTCTTTCCCAATTTTAAAGGAAGAGATTGTGGTAGCTGAAGTAGCATCGCTTTGACTGGATTGTAACTCAAAGCCTTTCCTCACTGCTGGAATTCTATCTTTCTTTGTTTTTACCCAGCGTGCATATTCTATATATATTCATCTTCAACTTGTGCATGGGGATTCAACTCCTACGAAAATGTCGCATTCCTGGATCATCCTGGCAAGCTAAAAAGTTTGTCTAGACGATATTGTGGATCAGTTTCTTACTCTTCAAAGTCCTGTTTTGACTCCACTCTTTTGTCCCATACGCCGCCAAAGAGACAAAATCTTTTTCCGCAATCACAATGCTGGTCGTACAAAAAAATTTAACCTCAAGAGACTGGAGCTCAAGTCCCTGGAATTGGGAAGTCTTTTTCTTATCACATTTCAAATGCAACAGAATAGTATTGTTGAAAAAGAAACGCGTAGAAGAAATCTTTTGTACGAAAAGCTTGCTACGTAGGCATACATCACTCTCTCTCAATTTGACCAATTCTTCGTGTGGTGTCTCACTATGTATGGATTTCAAACACAGAACAAAGAATATTCTCGGCCAAAGAGATGTCAAATGGCCACTGGAGAAGAGGTGATCTTAAGGCAAATCATAAGTTAAAGAAGAATTGGGCATGCACAAGCAATCCCCAGAGGGGCCTGGACTCGAATGGGAGCTCCTCTTTTTAACGGTGAAGCATCACCCGAAGCGGCGATTGATGGAGGTAAGTTCTCTCGACGGCGCTATTGATTTTTAGATGAATGGTAATACTCCAGCTCAAGAGGAGGATGGATTACAATGCCCTCAAGACGAGGATGGATTGCAATGCAACGAGACGCTTCCAGATTACAAAGATGATGATGATGAAAAACTTCGGGACCTCCTCCTTGACGCTGGCTTTGAGTGGAGCTCCGGATCTGGCGACCATCTCAAGGCGCAGGAGGAAGTGTCCGAGTAAGAGAATGGATCATCCGCCATCTTCTCATTGCGTCCAGCGATCAGGATGAGGAGAAAAGGTAAGGACGATGCCATGTAGTGCGTGTACACGACTTAACTACACTGAAATAACAAGCCTCTGATCAAACAGCTTCTACATGCATATAAGTGATAACACTATTTGCTCGAGGCCAGTTTGTCCGCTTTTCGATCAGATTACAGGATGCTGATGATGAATTCGGAGGCTTCTTGCAGGCGGCATATTCAATGGCTCTGTTTTTCTTGCTTCATCGATGGATTTGCATGCTCGGCCGCATTGTTTACAATTGATTCTAAAAAACATGTGATTGACTTGTTCATGCGGACTGCCGTCTCTTTTGGATCGGCCTGTGTTCTTTCCCGTTTATTTTCGTCCTATCAGGAGAATCAGATTGCGAGTCACTGATATATGACTCCATCGTCACTGCTGTTGTCACTGCTGCCACATAATCTAGTTTTGATACGAGCAATCTCTCTCACATACACCATTTTCACAAGGAAATTCATCCAAAAGTGTTTCTAGACCATGAACAAATGAATCAAGTGTGTGGATGAACTTGAATAATTTCTTGAAGCCTGCGTGTCCAGGCTTCAAGTATCATCTTGTCCGATATGCCGCCCAAACTTCCTTCTGGTGGTATTTGCATGAAGCATATCCATGGCAAACTGGAGCCCAGGTCCCTAGAATTTGGAAGTCCCATCACAACCAGACAAATTCGCCAAGTGCCTAGACAGACAAATAGATAGCTATACAAGTCTGAATTTCACAATGGAAATAAAAGTTGATAGATAAGTGGACTCAAAAAGTGATCTCTAGCAAGAACTTTGAAGAAAAATGAAAAAGCTGTCAACTTCCTAGACTTAGGTGGCAAGTAAAATTCTTTGTATGTGGTTGAAAGTTCTTTGAGAATTTGGAGGTTTAAGAAACTTCATTAACTTCAATCTGCAGAGGAGCCTCGAGCTCATTATATCAACTAGAAATCCAAACTCTCGACAACTTTAGCCCCGTCCTTGCTGAGCTTATGAACCGAATAGCCAGCTCGCAGATTTCCATGCTCGCGGAATCCCAGCACCATGCTCGCACCAATAGCTTCGGTTTTGCTCTCGTCATCCGTGACAGCCACAGCGGTCGGACCGGCACCACTGATCGTGCACCCGTAAGCTCCCTGTTTCATGGACTGGATCTTCACGGCCGCCATCCCCGGTATCATAGGACTCCTCGCAGGCTCCACAATGGTGTCGGACGCGAGAGCTTCGCCGAGGAGAGCAGCGTTTCCACCCAGGATAGCCGCAACCAGCGCCGCCGCCTGGCTGCAATTGGCGGTGTGCCTCTTGAGCTCGATCATCTGAGGCACCGCCTTTCGCATCTCTTTCGTGGGAGCCTCAAACTCTGGAATGGCCAGGACGAAGAAGAGCTGCTTGCCGCTGGGAAAGACGAGCGGGATAAGATGGAGTGGAGCGTAGCTTCTGACGAGAACGAAGCCTCCCATGAGCGAAGGCGCGATGTTGTCGGCGTGGTACCCACTGACAACTGCCTCGGATTTGAGCCCGGCGTAAACGAGCTCCATCTTGGACAGCGGGCTTCCAAACAGCGCGTTCACTGCTACCGCCGCTGCTGCTGCACTGGCGGCGCTCGATCCAAGCCCGCTTCCCAGAGGAAGGCCTTTGCTCAGCGATAGAGAGAGCCCGACCGACTTTATCCCGAGGAGCTCCATGGTGCTCTTGCCGGCGATTCCAGCACAGTTCTTCAGCGGCTCGTAGCTCAATCGCCCACTATCACCGGTGATGTTTTTGATACGGACTTTCCCCGGCTCTACACCCTCGTCAACCTCGGCCGTGACAAAGTCCCCGAGGCCTTGGACGGCACAGCCCAGAAAATCATAGCCGGGTCCGAGGTTGGCAACAGTGGCTGGAGCAAACGCCTTGGCCAGCTTCAAAACTGGACGAGGCTCGGCTGTGGTGAGCTGCTCGAGCGGAGAAAGAAGGTCCAAAGTTCCTGGAGACGATGCTAAAGTCGTAGAACACCTGACAAGCTTTACTCTCAACCTGGTAAATCTCTTATGATCGCATTTGCTGGATAAGAATGAGCTCTCCCCATCGGGGATCCAGGAAGAATGGCGGACATGCGAAAGCTCCATTCTTTCCTTGGGCTTAACCCCTAGCAGCTAAAACCCTGCTCCAAAACCCTAGAAGGATCTTCCATCGCTTCCAGCACTCGGCATTCCCTGGTAGTCAAGCTTGACACCCACCATGGAACTCACTGCCCTAAACTTCCCCCGGATTGCGTCGAGCTTCTCCTGGAGCTGCTCGTTCTGGTGATCCAGCACGGGGTAATCCCTCACCAGATCCCTCAGCTGCTGGATTCCCCGCGCGGCCCTCGCCGAAAAAGCCGATTCGTCCCTCTGAAGCAGCGAAATCCACAGCTGCGCGCAGCCACCGTAGAATCCCAGCTCCTCGCCCACCTGGAATCCTATCTTGAGCCCTACTTCGCGGCCCTCGATCTCCCCGGCGATCACTCCCTCCGCGAAACCCTCATCGAACCCGGCCTTGAGCTGCGCCTCATCCAACCCCACCGTCGTTGCAAAAATGTCGCTCTCTTCCATTGTTGATTAATGGATATTCCGAAGAACCCTAAAAGGCTGCCACGTCAGACATTGATAAAATCTTAATTAACTTCATTATTTATATTTTAACTTTTTTTAATAATAATAACAAAGGTTTCAATGTGAGTGCATGGAATATAGAAAGGGAATACAAAAATGTGTATATCAATTAACTCAATTGTCTTTTGGGTAGTTGATATGGCAAAAAATTGTATTATATTATAAAATATATAAATTACACAAATGTGTTTAATTATAATAGCGATTTTACTCATTGAAATGGCAAAATCATTTAGGGTAATGTTGCTATTTGCAAAAGTAGTGAAAAACCCTTTGC